GGGCGGGGCGGGCCGGCCCCGCCCTCCTCCCTGCCGCCTGCCTGCCTGCTGCCTGCCTTCCCCCTGCGCGCTGCTTCTTGGGCTCCTGCACCCTCACACAGCTTCCAGCGCTGGCGGGGATCAGGGAAGAGATTATGCTTCAGGTTTTTGGGGTGATCCAATGGGAATTGCATTGATCTGGTGTTTAGCTCTGATCCTTATCAAATGGATTACTTCTAAGGTAGGCCATTTTATTATTCTGTTTTGACTAACTGGGTTTATAAGTAGCCTGAGAGAAAACAAGTCATTAAGAACTTCATGAGTACTTATTTTTCCTTTTTAAATCTAATCTGTTTTGGAAACACATCATTCGTCATTTAAGATTGTGTTTCTTAAGTGTTCATACATGATTTTGTAACTCTTGACTTTTGCCTGCCTTGAAGTGGGAAGAGTGTGTTTGTAGCAGTGCCAGTTAGGAGACTGGGAAAAGGGATCTGAAATGGCTTCTGAATGGCAGGGGTTTGCTTGCCTCATTTACTAACAGATCTTCAATTTTATAGTGTTTTCAAGGCTTTATGAAAATAAGGAAAAACAATTTTAAACATAGTGAGAATAATACAAATTAGCGTGTTTTGCTTCCCGGACAGGATATCCTTTTTGTATTGTTGATTTCAGGGTTACGGGAGTGGATATACCAGTTTTGTTTGCTTAGGTGAAATACCAGCTACTTCACTTGCTTTGTAGCCTTTCCATTTGAGATGCTTATGCTTTGAAAAATGTGTGCTAATGTTAGACAAAATGAGGAGTTCCTACTCTCTCGTTCTAAAGGACTTAGTGTGTCCCCATAATGTATATTGTGGTAGTAAATGTAGGTGGGATTAGTACCTGGAGATGAGACCACAGGCTCTTCTCAGCATAGCCCACTGCCTAACCTGGAATTAATTCCAAAAGGAGGAATCAATCCAAATTTAGGATTGGGAAGGAGGGCCAGAATCATTGGGGAGAATCAGGGAAACTGAAAAAAAAGGAAAAAAAAAAATCCAAATTCATGCATTTATATATTTTTTTATTTATACACAATTTTAACATTTTTGTACAATTAACAGGAGAATCTGAACAAACATGAATTTGAATTTGTTGTGAAAACAAGCTTTGCCAGGTATCCGTGCCTGTACTCTTCAGTCGCTGCCAATAACACAGTTCTAAATTTACTAAAAGCAAAACAATTCAGGCTTAGTTGCTAGCACTTGTGATTAACTTTTGTCACATCAAGAAAAAGACCAGGATACCCTAATGGATGTTCAGTTGTGGCTGAAGGCAGATTCTAAATGCCAAAGTTTCACAGCTGGTGTGCTGTGCCTAGTAAGTCTAGTGTGCTATGCCTAGTAAGCATTTTACTGGTATACTGTTGAATTGCTGGTTTTCTGAAACTTGACATAAAAAGCCTGCTTAAGGATTATGTCTGTAATTTAGTTTGGTTAAAGATTCTGTTAAGATGGGAAAAAGAGGAATTCCAGGTAGCTGACATAATACAGTTAAGCATGAAAACCTCTGCTATTTATGGTTGTGTTTCTTTTAAAGAATTATTTTTTTTGTGTGTGTGTTCATCCAATTATTCTATTTTGCTGTTGGTCTTGAGTCCTGCCATTCTGATTTAGTTTCTAAAGGTAATACCCCTGTGTGTTTCTGTCCTCACTTAAGTCAGTCATGCCTTTTTTTGACTATGCTTTCTTTTCTGATCAATTTTTAAGCTTTTGGTTTGTATATCTTTGTTAAATCTTGAAGTTTTTATGTTGATTAAAACTTTGGGGAAATCTTACGATGCCACATGATATACATCTAAGGTGTATGAGAGAAAATAACCTTACAGATGCTTGTTAGATGTAGTTATCAATAACACTGGTAACTATCATTCAACCAATAGCTAAGTTTTTAAATTATTGCCATCCATCTTGGGAGATGATCAGATGAAAGAGCTTTATATGGAAGAAAATAGTAAAATTGCCACATTCAGATATTTGAAGGGGGTGTGTGTGTCTTATTGCTGATGTGTATTGCTTTCCTGAAATTAACCAGATTTTCTTATCACTAGTTTGATAAGCTTTCAAAATACTGCTTTGAACTCCAGTGAAATATTTAGAAAATAGGAGTAGGACCGTTTTGCAGTGGCTTGTCTGAGTCCAGTGACAGCTACTTAAGTGCTTTAAAAGAACATTTTCCAGGGCTTTAATGAGTAAAATCTCGGTGATATCTTGTGGAAAACTGTGGATCTTACATTAGTATGGAACTTTTAATTATTGAAATCATTCTAAGAATTATGATAAATGAGAGTCTCACTTTTGAAATCCAATAATAGTTGGAGAAATCCGGTCTAACTAGTTTGTCATTCTAGGGACTTCTAGCTGATAAACTGTCTTAGAATCTTAACTTGTTTCCAGGTGTGTGTATTTGAGGCAACATAACCAGCAAATTGCAGTTGCCATGATATAACAACTTCTCCAAACGTCTCAATTTCTCTTTCTGAAAACAACCCTCTGATTGTTGGGCAAATAACTTGGGCAGAAAAGCCAAGTCAGTAAAAATACCTGACCGGCTGTGTTGCTGTCCTCTGGCTTTTCTTTCCCAGGTTTCCAATAAAGAACTGAGTTGCAAAATGAGGGTTGTGCACTCCGTCAAAAAGCACAGGTGGTTCTTTCTGATGGGGGGGACTGAGTTTTGAAGGCCGACAGCTCCATCCGTTTCTTTCTGCTGTTACAGAATGAGACCAGCAGTTGCTTCGCTTGGCAGTCTGCAAGCTGGCTAGCTGGCTTTTGCCTAAATGAAGTGCCCAGCAGTAATGCTGGTGCTCTGCTCTGAACTGGATTGGGAAATCCTTGCGATAAAACTGATACATCAGTGGAAACGTTTCTGTTTGGCACAAACAGCAGCAGGTGCTCTGTTTCCAAGTGTTACAGGCATATGCTGTACTCCCTAGCATCACCGAAGCGGTTTCCCTTTGAAGATATATCTATGTGCTATTTTGGCATGTCATTCCCGTTGCGTGGCCTTTAATAACTTCCAGTACTCTTGTGAAAAGATTTTCAGAAAGATCTGACTTAAATCTATCTTTTGATAGCTACTCCCTTCACCTATTTTTATGGAGTCTTTGTATCACTGTTATTAAAGGATTAATGGGTCTTCCACTTTAGTTTGAACTTCTTCCATTCACTTTCCATAAAGATGTGACAAAAGCGAGGAGAAATGAAAGCTTTTCTTACTGTATTGTCCTCTGGAAGAATAAATTACACTCTAATATGAAACTGAAATTTAAGGTGAGGTTTTTGAAGTATAAATCCAGTGTAAACAATCCTTCCCAGTCACGTTTCTGACATCTGTCTTCATCCCTGAAGCAAAACAGCCCACCCAGTTCAGATGGCTGCGCTCATGTCTGGAAGGGAGCGGAGTGGTTAAGAACCTCATCTAATCACTTGAGGAATTTGTTGAATCACTTGGAGTCAAGCAGATATTCCCACTGGACCGAGTTGTCCTTGTGCTTGAAAAGGGAACCTGCCTAAACACATCAGGATTGTTTTCAGTTTGAGCACGAGTAATTCTGCCTGCCTGTTGGAATGATGCTTATGTGTTTGAGATTTCTACAGAGGGGCAAGGAGTTCGATATGCTTTACGGTTGTTAACAGGTACAAAGCTTCAGGTAGACCAAAGAGGTGGCAGAGATCTAGAAATAAAATTTTATGCTAAGTGAGTTAACAATACTATCAATGACATGATATTTTGAAGTGGCAGAAGTCAAGCTCTGTCCATGAAGTTTTTAGCTAAGGTTTGTAAGTGGGCTGATACAGTGCATGCTACAGTCATCTCAACTGTGTAAGTAAGGTAAATTTTTAGTGTAAGTATGGTCTTGATGTCTTGGTGGAGACTACAGAGAGTGGGCCTTTGATTAGCAATGAGGAAGAAGGCATTTTTGGTGGTTATCAAGAGTAGAATCCTGGTAATTGTTTGAACTGTTGAGTGCTTTACAGAAACTTTAGTTCTTTGAGACGTATTTGTCTTTCTGCTTATGAATTTGCTGCACATAACAGTTCACATATCAGTAGAAGCTGATGCATTACATTTGGTCTTTCTGCTTGCTGGATTTACAAAGTGGCATCTGGGCAGAGTATCTTAAAGAACCACAGGCAGGGTGGATTAAATTACTTCTCTTTTTTTTGCTTTTTGTCCTTGCGTGTTTCTAGAGTAGTGTAGGGGGTAGTATAACAAATACACTGTCAGTATTATTTGAAGTAGGAAAATAGGTGATATACCTCAACCTGTGGTGGGTAGTCTGTTACCTATTTGGAGCGTGAGCTGACACAAAGCAATCTATGGCTGGATGAGCATAATGTTATTTAATTCACCTACTTATCACAAGTTGCTAAAAAAGTCTGTACCATTAGCTCCCTTCTCTGTCTCTGCCCACCACGGTGATCCTAACTATCTGTACCTCACTTATTTGCCAGGTCTAAATGTATGAGGTCTGACCACTCATCACCCACCCTGTATCTGTTCCTTGGTGGAACTTACTAATAAGTGTTTTTCTCTTACCTATTTTATTTAACAGATTTCAATGAATGAAGTATGTTTAGGACCTGTACCTTTTTAGAAAAATTAGCTGAAATTGTCCTACTACTTTTGAAGTATTATTAGTAAGGTTTACGCAATAAATTTTCTCTTTTTCCTTAGGAGACCAAACTTTGAAAGGTAATTTTAAAAGGATTTGATTGTTCAAAGATTCCTATAAGATCTTTTGAGTCCTTGTAGAATGAAATCACTTGTTTGTATAAGCAATTGGTTTATGTTTTTAAAAATGTGCTTTGTGTTTGATAGCATACATGGATGTACTAGTTTATCTAGCAAATAGTATTTTAGATTTTAGAGAGCAAGTAATATTTTAGAATCAACATGAAAAGGATTTATTTTTCAGTAAAATTTTGCGTATTGTTTTCCTTCTCAGAGACTAATGCTCCATTTGGGCATGGTGGTTCTTAGCTGCATGTGTGCTTAGCTTTCTCCTGTATTAGATTACAGAACTGTACTGGACATGTCCAGAAATCTGTGATAGACAGGTGCAAATTGCAAGTTAGCACTAAATTACATCACTGATTGTGCCTAGTCAGTGATATGAAATGTTCCAGGCTACTGAAAATATATTCAGCTGAGATTTGCTGAAATTTAAAGGTAGGTTATATGAAGAAATTTGAAAATGCGAGTGGGAAATCAGTATCATTTTCTGGCTGTTGAGATGCATTGCTGCCTTTCCCATCAGGACAGGCACATTGCTGTGAGAAATGCTGTACAAACATATTTCAAGGGAAGGATTATTTGCATGGTTTATGATCTTCCAAGAAAATATAGAACAAAAGCTAAGACAACATAAAAGTGCTGTACAGGGAGTTCTTCCTTGTAGTCTTTACAAAAGCTACTATAATTGGACCCCATTTGGAGTTAGGTCTTTGGTCACTTCTGTAATTAAGTATTAAGCTTTGGAAAAACTCTGACTTCAAGTGTAAGGTTTTTCTTGTTTTAACATAAAAAATATTAAAACAATTAAGGGTAACCTCTGGGTTTGGAGTCAACACATCAGTTGTACAAATCACGCTGATAGAGGTTACTAATCTCTAGTCTGTCTTTGTGTGCATTCAATTTGCTCTGTAGATAGATGTTCATAAGCAATTTCACCTTTCTTCCCCTGCCAAGTAATCTGTTTCTTTATCTCTTTTTCTTTCTTTTAGAATTTTTCTCAATATCCAACATCTATTTTTCTGTCCTGTTTGCTAACATGGTTTGGTTTCCCATCTTTTGAACGTGTGCATTTTCAGGCTGTTGCGTGTCCCTGGTGTAGTGTTGTTCCTGCTACACAGAGGGAAAAAATGGGTGACTGCGTTCACCTCCGGACTGGCTTTTATCTGAAGTTCTCAAAGGGGTATGGTAATCCTTCGTGGCACCCAGGACTTCACTGTCCTCAGTGTGAATAAGAAGCATGGTGGACATGGAAAGGTCATCAGAGTTTTTAACATGGATGCACAGAAAAAAAATCTTATTTCTTTAAAGGACAGATGTTGTGAACTGGCAAAATTGAAGTCAGATTGTGAAGGTGATCCTCTGATCATAGGCTTAAGAAATAACATTAATGAAGGCCCTAGGAAGTGGCAGAAGATGGTGAAAGTACAGTAAAGGCAAGGCGTGAAGCTGGGTGTTAGGTCGTGCCAAGCTTTGAAGACTACGTGATGCCAGTGTTGTGTAACTATGAGAACATTCCCCCGGTTTTTAGCTATTAGAGGACCAGTTCACCACACTTGTGGGGGACTTCCTGGATTAACACTATTACTGCATTAGCTGAATATGTATGGAACATACATATTTTGCATAGGTAAGAAATACAGACGATATGGGAGTATCTCAATGTTGTGCACGGATAGCTTGATGAATCTTTTAGACTTCTATCATCGAATGTGAAATACCACTTGCTTATTTTCTTTAAAATACCTTTATGTATTACATCCTGCTTCAATGGTACCTTGGTTTACCTACAGAAAGTACTGGGTGGAATGAAAGTAGCATGTGGCAGCCAAGTCCTGCCCTTGCAGAATATAGGTTGAATTCCTAGGACTGCAATAATGGTGTCATTTGAGTTCTTTTACTTCTTTTAAAACTACTTTTAGCTTTGAAAGATGGAAATACCCCATAGGTAAAAGTAAATAAACAAATAAACCAGGAACTGCAAATGTTTGTTTTAAGTATGACATTCTAGAAGGCTATGAGGAGCATGTGTTTTTGTGCCTGCTTAATCTTGTTCTGTGTCTTTTTTTTGTTGTGAGGAATGATTGAGGAGCATCTGGACAGAAATTTAGAGAGGATATTTTTTCCGCACTCTGGTGTTGTTTTTCATAATCTCTCCACTACCAATTCCTGTCCTTCCTTTGTCCCCTCCTAAAACAAAATGAGTATGTATATATTTGAAAGATGAATGTTCACATTTCCAAAAGTAATTTTGAGAGTTAAATTGGAAATGGACAATTGATGCTTTATTTTCATTTCAATTTAAAAATGATCCAGTTCTCACTTGAATAAAATATACCTTTTTTCTTTTTTTTCAGAGACGTGGAGCAATTTCCTATGACAGCTCTGATCAGACTGCGTTGTACATTCGTATGCTAGGTAAGCATACCAGTTTCTATATTGCAAAGTTTTAATGTTTATTATTGATTTAAAAGAATTATTTTTTTCATATTTGAGTATTGAATTCTTAAACTTATCATTCCCTTTCTCCTGGATAATATTCTAGTTAGATTCTTTAGAAGAGTTTGGGTTCTTTTGTGTTGACTTGGGTTTTTTGGTTGTTTGCCTTTTTTTTTTTTTTTTTTTTTTGGGTTAACCAATTTGTCAGGTGTTTTACTCCCTATATTAAAAAAAAAA